CTCTCTCTCTCTCTCTCTCTCTCTCTCTCTCTCTCTCTCTCTCTCTCTCTCTCTCTCTCTCTCTCTCTCTCTCTCTCTCTCTCTGAGCCCTGGCCCAATTGGCCAAGGCTGTGCCAAACCGAGCACTGCATTGTCTACTGGCAGCATTTACAGGCACGGCAGGATGGGCGAAGCAACGGAGGAGTGGTAAGACGGAGATCGCAAGCCGGGTGGGTAGTAGCTTTAGGGGGTAGAGACCCTTTTCTAGGACACACAGCGAGCCCGGATCTGGCACGATTCCTGGGAAATGTTCTTTCAGTTTTTCAGTTCTGAAAACGATGATTTTATTTAGTTTATTTTATTTATCGGCTTGCTTTTTTCGAATCGCAGATTCGACTGGACCTCGTACTTAACACCCGACGGGTGGCGCACAAGGATTTTGGATAGACACGAGTAGACACAGGGTTCCCGGAGGACGTTTCGGGAACGGGATTTTGGAAATTTAGGAAATTTTGAAACTTTCAATTTTGGTTCCACTGTATTTGGAGGTAGTCTGACGCAGGGTACAAACATGACTTAGGAAGGGTAAACGCTAGCTCGAGTTTTGACCGGCGGACTAGTAGCTTCCGTTTTTAGATCTTGATGACGAAGTAGCGAGCTTCTTGGACAGGGGCAGAAGGATGTCCAGACGGTTCTTTTGGACGGAGACTGAGATATATAGCGGGAGACAAGGCTGAAGTCTTCCCTTTTGAGAGCACAAAAACTCTACTTAGAGTCACCTTCCTGACGATCCTGTGCGGGCGGGTGAAACCGGTTGGGGGATTCCGCATGTTTTTGCTCAATTTTGCAGTTTTGCTATGGAACTCGCTATGGTGTTTTGCACGTACGTGTTCTGATACTTCGCGATCTTCCTGAACTGCACAGACTGTGTTGCCGCAGTCTGCCATCTCGTAGGCTCGCAGTAACCGCCAGCTAGCACGCGCTGTACGGTGGCTGCGTCGACAAGCGGAGTTCAAACTGGTGCTATCGGGGTCTGTACTACTCAGTGTACGACAACGATGAGGACGAACGCGAAAGATACACCGATGTGGCAGTCGGTATGACGACATGGCCACGGTGGACTGGCGCGGATCTTCGGCGAGTACAAGGATTTTGGGACGGTGATCACATGAGACGTGATTGAGAGACGGAGGCGGTCATTTGGTGAATAGACCTGTCGTGATCGATATGAGGAAGGGCGGGAAAACGATCCAATTAGTGCTATTTGGTATAGGGGTCATATGCTTGGGTATAGGTTTGATCCTGGTGGGCGCAGCGTGCTGAAAAATGTCGGATAATCAGGAAAATCAAGGGGAGGGGAACACGCGTACTAGAAGGCGATCCACGGTTAGAACGAGATTGATCCAGGCACTCGAGGATTACGTGCGAAACACCGTAGAACCGATGCAATTGATGATCGGTTTCGTCAATAATGAGAGTTTGCGCTCTGCGCTATATGATATGTTGATGGGTTTGCTGATTAAAATCGAAACTACACTACTTGTGCTGAGAACTAGACGCAGGGTTAGATATCGTGAGATAGTCGAGATTTGGAGAGAATAGATATTCAGACCAGGGCAAGAGTTTGGTGAACGTAAGCATCATTAGACTGAATTTATACGCGGAAGTGGTTAACGAGAGAATCGGTAGGAGGAAGGATTAGCTGACGGATTTTCGGAGGAAGAGACGCACACACCGGGAAATTTTCCTTAGGATTTGCAAGCAAACAATCGGGCAGAAATTTTGAATTCCGGAGACGACTGGAATCCCGGAATTTTAGTGGTGAAATCCGAAGGTGAGACGGAACACGATACTGATATTCGTATACGGATACTCATTTAACAAGGAAAGGACGTTACGACCGGGGTTAGTATACGATAAGTGACGAGTACGTGTGCGGGGGACGCAAGATTAACATGAATCTGACGTAGTAGGGACACGTGGAAGTGTACTGATTGGAGCGAGGACAGTGATGTTTTTGACAAATGGCCCCGGAGGGGGCGGACAGGAAAATGGACAAAACGGACAGCCGTACGCAAACGGGAGGATACAAAACAGGGGAGTGAACCAGCGGTACGCTGGCCAAAGCAACCCCGGAGATGGAGGAGGACGTAGCAGCATTAGCGGATGTTTAACTGCGGGAAAATGGGGCATATCGCCCACGATTGCTGGTCAGCAAGGAGGGATAGGGGCTACGCCCCCCAACAAGGGGACCCAGAGCTGGACGAGATGAAGGAAAATTTGAGGTAGATCAGGAGATAACGACTGGAGATGGAGGAGAAACGGCGAAAAGAGGAAGAACATAAGGCGAAAGAGGAAGAGGAGGTGAGGAGAAATCAGGATTTTGCCAGGAAAGCGGAAGAGTTCAAACTGCAACTTCGCACCGAACTCATGGAGGAATGGAGGAGGACGACAGCTGAAGCAACTATGGCAATGGAGAAGACCAGGAAACCCAGGAAGATCAAGGTTCCGATACGCGTTGTGAAGAGCAAGCGGAAAGGCAAACAGCAGAAGAGGAGGAGAAAGAAGGGAAGGGAGACTTCAGACGAAGACACAGAGGAAGAAAGCGACACGAACGAAGAGTCTACAGACTCCACCACTTCGGAATCGGATTCGGAACCACGGCAAGCGAGGAGAAAGGCAAGGACAGGACGGCAGAAGAAACGCCCCACAAGTAGACGAGCAAGTACGAAGGGCAAAGGAGGATTGGGGATACCCCACCCAGAGTTCATGAACTTGGCGAGTGCTCGAGGCAACGGAAGTCGGGACAGACGGAGGGGAGCATGCAGGAGGTGGCAAAGGAGGCGGACGAACCTATGACACCACTTACGGGTGGTTTCAAAGGCATGTCTGCAGGATGCTCACAGAAAGGGCTGATAGACTACTGCATTCTGCTCATAAGATCTACTTCGCTAAGAAGGCGGATGCCTTAAGGAAGGTCTGTGAAAAGAAAGGTTTCAAATACATGAAGAAACCTGAAGTCGTGGAGATGCTTGCCAGACAAAAAGTTCAACTGGCATATGACAGCTTTGAAGACCAAACGGAGATTGGAAGATCTGCTGGGAAGACGAAAGCCTCTGGCTCTCCGCGGGAGGTGTTTACAAAGGACAGGACTACATCCGTCAAGCACACGACACGGGCGACACCAGTGATTATTCGTTCGGCAACAGTCCAGCCTGCAGACAAACCTGAAGAATCCGATTGACAATTAGCGGCCCCTTCTAATGCTGAACTATGGGAGAACCTACACTATTGGTTCACCCAGAGGACAGTGCTCAGGGGGCAGAATATCACCGGAGAAGTGGCACGAAAGGTCGAATGTACTATTGCTACCACGACACTTCTTTTGACTGCGCAGGGACAGATTCCCTGGCTTCTCAAGTACCTGATGAAGACACAAAATTTGAATACCATGCTTCAACTGAAGACCGGTGGAGTGTACGCGATAGTGAGTCCGTGGTCGAAGAGGACTTATGTTGGATGCACAGTGAGACCGATAATACAGAGGTGGAGGGAGCACTCGAGGAATGCACAGAGTGATGCACTAGGACACAGACCCCATCTATACTGATGGCTACGCAAGTTTGGTATAGATAAGTACGTGATTGTACCCATTAGGCACGCTGACAGTTCGGATGACTATGCTTTCGAAAAGCATATGATTTCAGATTTTTGTCCGAGTATGAACTCACAGGATTTGGGGAAAGGAGAGAGGATCGGGAAGGGCAGGAAGAGGAGGGGTAGACGTGAGAGGAAAGGACAGACGAGGCAACTTCACACGAGAAAGTTAGTTACGATAGCACACAATGGAGTATCCTATGCGTCGATTGGTAATTGGTTATCTGATAACAGGGACCTGAAGGTTACTACTGTGGAATTCGCAAGCGGCCAGGAATGGATGGAAGGGTGGAGGAGACTGAGACGGAGATTTGGGGACTCGACGATGGAGATTGGAGAGGAGAATACACTACTCCGGCATGCAAAACTGAAGCTACAACAGGGAGGCGAGGTAGTGCTGAAGAAGATCGTGAAGGCAAAGACGACGACAGAACGAAACAAGACCATGCTGACAGCAATGCTGAAAAGACCAAGACCGGACACGCAGATGATCACGCTCCCGACTAAGAAGCTGATCGGATTGTACAGAACTGTTGGACTCTTCTCGAAGAAACAAACAAAACATCGCCTGCGTACCAAGTTGGATAGGATTATCGCACAGAAGACTGGAGTTAGTGTGAGGAAGCGGGTGAACATAAAGATGCTGTTTGATTCTCGCATACGTAAAGCCGGAGTCGGGGAAACGGCCGAGGACTTTGTCGCGAACCTGGTGAAGGATAAACCGCTGGCCGATTTTGTGAAGACACGTATTCGAGTGTTGTGGCTCCGCAACAAGAATGTAGGGGAGCTGATACACAACCAAAAGAAGTACGCCAGCGTGAAAGAGCATCCCTGCCCTTGCGAGGGCAGGTTACTTCCGAAAACTGAGGGCCGCATCCTTTCCAGATTTTCAGATATGGAGGTTCCGGATTTTGTCCGAAATGCGAAGAATGTGACCAGACCGGCGAAAGCAGGGGAGACGCAGACCATCGCTAAGGCTATTTTCGAAGCTACAAGGCATCTTAAATGCAGGAAACTACCGGAGGTCAAACCTGGCGTGGTGTTCACCGGGAGACTGATCGGAGCAGTAGCTTGGACTGACGAAGACGTAAGGAAGTGGGCGAAACAATTCGATGGCCTCGTACTATCGCCCATTGACAGGAACCAGGGTGACACTGCGGTCATGTGCCCGGTACTCTATAGGCATGGCTTTGGTAAGACCTTCACATGGAACGCGAATTAAGAATCCATGGGAAGTCTCGACGCCGAGGAGACGATCCTCAGAGATAGCAGGGAAGATTTCCGGAGGAGCGGGCTCAGCCACATTGGAAACTGGAAACCAGACGGACGTCTGGGGACCGCGTATGTGATACCGAAGCATAAGGACCTCACCCGCTGGCGACCTATAGCACCAGCACCGGCTGATCCAGCAGCACTGGCACAACGGAGGATAGCAAGAGCTCTGCATACACTCTTGAAGAGGCTACCATCGAACTGTACTTTCTATCTGAATTCCATTGTGGAATTACCAGAGAGGTTGGAGGCGACGACACAGCGTTTCAGAGCAGCAGGATGTGAAACAGCAGTCGGACGCTGCTACGACATCAAAGAAATGTTCTCCAGAATACCACACGGAGCCGTGGAGCAAGCCGTACATCAGCTACTGAAGATCTATGAGGACAAAGGTTGCAAGCAGATCAGAGTTTCCTTACAAGGAAAACAGGGTGTCATCAGCGATAATAAGAGAAAGATGGATGGATACGTAAGCTTGACTCTGAAATTGGTGATGGCAGGCATCAGATACGACCTTCGACATTCGGTGGTGAGATGCGGGGACAAGCTGGTGAAACAGATATTTGGGATACCGATGGGGAAGTCGACTAGTCCTATCCTAGCTTCGATCACCTGCGCGATGGCGGAACTCCGCTTCATTCAAGAACTCAGCGCTGATAAGAGACTGATCGGAGGATGGCGGGTGATAGACGATATCACCATCATGGCTGGGATACCGAAGGATACTAAGAATGAGGATTATCCTGATAACCTCTTCGACGGATTTGAGGAGGTCTATGACCGGAACCTGGATATCATCCGCAAGGATGAATGTGGTCTGACATGGCAGTTTGTGGGGGAACAGATGATGATCTGCAGTGAACCATTGCAGATTCACTATGTCACTAGCACAAAGAACACTGATTCTTTGCACATGATGGGGAAGTTGACCTTCCAAACTATGCAGGACTTTGGCTCGTATACTGCCAAGAGCGTGAAGAGAGTGGTCCTAACTACCATTCTGAAAAGACTCTGGCATCATACTACGAACAAGGAACTCGTCATCGGTGAGATTGGATACGCCATATGTGAGGCCAACCTCCAGGGATACCCCCCGGAGGTCTCTCTCGGAGCCCTGGCCCAATTGGCCAAGGCTGTGCCAAACCTAGCACTGCATTGTCTACTGGCAGCATTTACAAGCACGGCAGGATGGGCAAAGCAACGGAGGAGTGGTAAGACGGAGATCGCAAGCCGGGTGGGTAGTAGCTTTAGGGAGTAGAGACCCTTTTCTAGGACACACAGCGAGCCCGGATCTGGCACGATTCCAGGGAAATGTTCTTTCAGTTTTTCAGTTCTGAAAACGATGATTTTATTTATTTTATTTTATTTATCGGCTTGCTTTTTTCGAATCGCAGATTCGACTGGACCTCGTACTTAACACCCGACGGGTGGCGCACGAGGATTTTGGATAGACACGAGTAGACACAGGGTTCCCGGAGGACGTTTCGGGAACAGGTTTTTGGAAATTTAGGAAGTTTTGAAACTTTCAATTTTGGTTCCACTGTATTTGGAGGTAGTCTGACGCAGGGTACAAACATGACTTAGGAAGGGTAAACGCTAGCTCGAGTCTTGACCGGCGGACTAGTAGCTTCCGTTTTTAGATCTTGATGACGAAGTAGCGAGCTTCTTGGACAGGGGCAGAAGGATGGCCAGACGGTTCTTTTGGACGGAGACCGAGATATATAGCGGGAGACAAGGCTGGAGTCTTCCCTTTTGAGAGCACAGAGACTCTACTTAGAGTCACCTTCCTGACGATCCCGTGCGGGCGGGTGAAACCGGTTGGGGGATTCCGCATGTTTTTGCTCAATTTTGCAGTTTTGCTATGGAACTCGCTATGGTGTTTTGCACGTACATGTTCTGATACTTTGCGATCTTCCTGAACTGCACAGACTGTGTTGGCGCAGTCTGCCATCTCTCTCTCTCTCTCTCTCTCTCTCTCTCTCTCTCTCTCTCTCTCTCTCTCTCTCTCTCTCTCCCCCTAACACACACACACACACACAAAAACAACAACAACAACAACAACAACAACAACAAACAATGTATATTTCCATGTTGTCGCGGTAGATTCAATCGATTTTGCTCATCCTAT